GTAGAGAAACGATAGAACGGTGTCGCCTTACGCAAGCTCGATGCTTGGAAGCCACGGCAGATAAGCCGACCGGCCGCGATCGGTGACCGAGCCGATCACTCAGGGTCGACAGGTCCTCTCGGTGACGTGAGAAAGAGAGGTGATCGGCCTCGATTCTCTTTCTCGCGTGTGTCTTTCGATACTCGTTAACTATTGACATGATCGTTTGGAGCGAGAGACGTACATGTCAGAGATAATGTAATTTCGCGCTTATAGTATTTCTCTTTTCCGATCCCGAGACTCTTGAGAATCTCTCGATGTGTGAACCCACGTGACCCAAATGCTAATTTCGTCAAGCACAATCAAGGAGAGTGTGTCACGGATCTGACACACTTTTTTTTGACAAATATAAATGTATCGTGTGTTGAATGTGAGAAAGAAACACGGCGTGTGAGAAACGATGCCGTGTATACGCGGCACTTATTCGGTTTAAACGTTTCGTAAACGGAGAGACTCCTCTTGCCGATCGATAAGATCAGATTCCCTTCCTCGTTTGAATAATATGAAAAATCGAGATAGATGGATAAATGGAGGGAATAAGAGAGAGGGATCGCTGTAGATGCATATGTATCGGGTGGAAAAGGGGGAAGGAATTCGCTCGCGCACAGAGGGTGGCGTGAGGACAAGGTGGGAGAGTCTTCGGGACGAAGACGCACCGTGTCGGTGGAGTGAGTTAGGACCGGCGAGCAACGCTATGCATACCGTCACACCCTGCGACACGCTCCAAATTTGAAATTTAAATTCGGTACCTCTCGCGGGACCACGTTGTACACCGGTTACACACACACACACACAGAAATGCGCTCGCATGAACGCGGAGAAAGATCTGTGCGCACGTTCGGTCATACGTTTCAAAATATTTTCAGACGCATCGAAAGACATTATTTAATGCGAGAAAGATTAGCAATAAATCGATGTACACTTTTTTCAATATTTTCTCTCGCACTCAAAATCAGGTACCAAAATGCGTATCGGAAATTTAAATCTTCCAAAAAGCGAGAAGAACGTTCGGAATCGAATTTGTATCGAGGACAAATCGTCCACGGATTTTTATTCGTCGCTTTTCGGAACATCCGGCGAAACGCACGCGAGAGCAGAATGGAGGAAGGATGTATCGTCGTTTTCACGACAACCGACCTGGCTGTTAAGTCGTTTCCGCTCGTCGTGTAACACACACACACACACATACGGGAATAGTAATTCGAGACAAGCCCTGCGCTCTATACGGTCCTTTCACCTCCCGTCTTCTCCCTCTTCCACGAGTTGTGAAGTTGTCTCGAGTCGTGTATGATTGTCTTGTCTGCTTGTCGCTGTCGATCCACGATCGCGTTGAATGCGGGCGAAGGGCGCTTTTAGGGTGAGCTTGTTTTTCGAATGTCAGCCGAAAATCCGAGCGCGTGCTCGTTCGACTTTTGCATCTCGAGCGATGCAGTGCTACTGTCACACGCAATTATAGGTTTTTCTTTTTTTTTTTTTTTTTTTTTTTTTTTTTTATCTTCGTAGAAAAGAAAGTTCTGCTTGTAGAACCGATTGAGTGCCTGTCTAAAAGAAAATAATTTATCGAATTCTCGTCGCATTTTGTGTCAATTTTATTCTTGAGATTATTGTCTCTTCTATCTGTCCATGTTTAATCGCTACCTATGTTCTAGCGAACATACGTAATCGCGTTTCCCTCGGTTGTGGTCGAGACAGAGAGAGAGAGAGAGAGAGTTCGTAATTTCTCTCGTCCCCATCCGGTCTCTTCTCTACGGCATTCCACGACGACACACGCCGCGAGTGGCTCGCGTCACGTGACACGTGTCCAGACCGACGGAGGCGCATAATGCACGTGTCGCACGCACGGTGCGTAGCGGCTGCCCCGGCATGCAGCCGACGTCGACAGGCGGCGGCTGCACTTTCTCTTTTCCCGTCGATAATTCGCATCGTAGATGATGCGAAACCGCATCGTTACGCATATCTCTCTCTCTCTCTCTCTCTCTCTGCGTCGCGATGCCACGCATTTAAAGAGGTAATTTTGACGCGTTATTAAAAAACTCTATTTCGTACAGTTTTGAATCAATCCACACGAAGAGAGTGAATGTCGAGTTGCGGGTAAAAATACGCTGCGACGTTTTCAAATTCGAAGAAGTGTCTGACAAATTTCCGCTGTTGTATCGAAGTTTCGTAAAAAAAACAATTCAAATCGTCAAATTTTCGATCAAATTGATACGAAAAAAAGTGGCCATCAAGTTCGACGATGAATAGACAGAAGTGCGCGAAACCTAGAGTTAAACCTTTTATAACTACATAGGAGAGAAAGAAGGGGAGGATGGCCACACAGCATTTGCGGTTCCTTTAATAGCCGCTATATAGCGATACGGTTGAATAGTTACTAAAACGTTGCGGCGGTCGATTGAAATTGTTTGCCGTAACCATCTCGCGCTCATCGAAAATATTGCACCGAGTGTTTTAGTGCGCCTCTTTCCGCGGTCGTCTATATACCAGAGGAGAAACTATAGTTATCTATCCCGGAATTACCCTGCGCACAACGCTCCGTACAACGCGTCAGATAGCCGTGTACGTACATAGATTGGAAATAGCTACGCGCTAAGAGCAAACCCAATAGCTCTTACATATATATATAGATAGAGAGAGGGACACGTCTTCGTCTTACGTGGCTCGAGTTTGCTCTCGAGCAACTTCAGAAGTTGCGCAATGTCAAAAGAGAAGAAAGATCGAGCGATTCGATCTCTTCGCCGAGTTATTTTACGTATTTATATCTTGTTGCATATTTATATTACAGTCTGAAGATAAATATCTTGACGTGATACTCTCGTGTCGAGAGAGAGAGAGAGAGAGGGAAAGGAATAACGACGCTGTTTAAAATGCAAATTTGGAAGAAACACGATTATCAAAAGCGACGGAGTTAAGTCCGTCGGATGTTCAGCGGGTAAATCTCGTCGGCGTTGGCGAATAATCCCGAGGTCAATCTGCTAAGGCTTTCCGCGAAGTTTATTAGGAGGCGATATAGAGGCGATAAAGAGAAGAGGTGAATTCTCTCTCGCTCTCTCTTGAATCTTACTCCGTGAATTCGGAGGCGCGTGTCTATATATTCCAAGTTCTTCGCGAGAGTACTCGAATTAGACCGGCACGCCGAAGCCGAGCAGCGCACAAACTAGAGAGAGATACTCTCTCTCTCTTCACAATGAGACGGATTAGAACGCAACTGATCCCGCGGCTTAAAACGGGAGAGTATTACCTCGCGATGTCCTAAATACTACTACTACTCGCAGTTTATCAAATCCGTGCATTTCAAAATTATGTATTTGCAAAGCTCTCGCAAAAGCATACCAGGCGAGAGCGTTCTTCAGGTTGAGACCAGAGATAACAATTGTTACGATAACACGCGAAACTCAGAAAGAACTTTCATTCTGAGATTTAGACTCGGGAATTGTGTGTGCTCGAAAGTTTCGCAGACTTCCGTCGGACTTTGGGAAAACCGCCGCGCTCTCGGATTGATCCCAAAAGTTTTTCATACTCGACGCAATTTTTTTTTGTTTTTTTTTTTCACCTGTCGCACGCTCGGCCCGCGATCGCTTCGCGTCGATCTGGATGCGGCGAGATAATTGCAGCTCGCGCGAGTGCCACTGTCAAAACATGAATGGTGGCGAGAGACGGGAGATCGATGGGGCGAAGAGATAGAAACGCGCGAGGACTAACAGAGAGGGGGGTGGGAATAAAAAGTCCGGATGGATTTTACAGCGCGCAGTTTTCACCTTTGAGATTCCATCCGGCGCGTTCGGGGGTAAACGGGGGAGATGATGGGCGACACTGTGTATCTGTGCCGACTGTAGGGCGCTCTAGCCTAGGAATTCAAGGACCCGCAGTTTGTGTGCGAGATCCACGAGAACGTTGTCCCGTGTGGAGGGGTGAGAAAGAGAGAGGAAGAGAGAGAGAGAGAGAGGGTGACGGCTCGATATTCGGACGAATATCGCGAAACGGAAGAGGACGAAGAGCGAAGTGACACCGTGAAAGAGAGGCAGCGAAGAAGCATGAGAAAGAAACGACGAAGAGGAAGGAAGGACATGCGACCGCAGAAGTTAAAGAGAGTAAAGGTGCAGAAGAGATACAAAGAACGCGCGGGAATAGGAAGAGAGACGAGAAGGGACGGGAGGAGAAGAGAGGGCGGAATGCGCCGGGCGCGTAGAAGAGACGAGGAATGGATCGACGAAACGAAGAGGAAGAGGGAGAGAGAGAGAGAGAGAGAGAGAGAGAGAGAGAGAGAGGAGAGTCGAGGGTTGGTAGCAGCCCAGACCCGGTCGATACGACCACTACCACCAACATCACCACCGCCACTTCTACCACAAGCGGCGCGATGCAGAACACAACCTGGTCTCTACGCGTATATGCACCGATATATACACGAGATCTTCCTGCTTCTTTCTTCCGTGCCGCTCTTCTCTCTTTTTCTCTTTTTTTTCTCTCTCTCTTTCCCACTCTTTCGCGATGTGCTCACTTCCCGATATTTTTTCACCCCTCGCAACGTGCTCTCTCGACGATCCGCCATTTTGAGAGGGAGCGTTCCGATCCCCCTTCGACAGGTTGACTTCCTCACGGTGACTTCGGCACGTACATGCCTTTTCTTTAAATTATCTTCTGGTCTAAACGTAGTTTTAATTTCTCATCGTGCGGCGTATTATGTAGTATTACGATATAATTACATTCGACAGAAAGAGGAAGAGAGAGAGAGAGAGAGAGAGAGAGAGAGCGATGATGCGATATGCTATTAAGTATGAAGTTAAGATACAAGAATAAAAAAAAAAATTATTTCCTTGTAGTAAATAAAACTGTGTATGGAAAATTCTTCGAAGTATATTATCTTTTGCAACATCAGCTGAATGTTTTAATTTCGCAATTAAAACAAAAAGAACGGGAGAAACTGAGCCGCGTGTACTGAAATAGCATTTCCTTTTTGATTGCAGTGGTTCTGTTGGACACGACGACGGAGGAGAAACTTGAATGGACGAGATTCCCGTATGGGCCTCAAGCCAGCACTCCTGGCGTAAGTATACACGCACTGAATTTTTCACCACTACATGGAAGAGAGTCCTCTTTCTATTTTTAGCAAAAAATGTTTAGTCTTTCCTCGATAAATCCAAAAAAAAAAAAAAAAAAAAAATTCGAAAAAAAAAAAAAACTGTGATCAAATGTAGTAATTCACATTCGCGTTGCGACTGGAGTAATGATCGGAAGAGCAAAAGTATGAACACGAACAACTTTCAATCCAAGAAAGCACATTACAAAAAAAAAAAAAAAAAAAAAAAAAAATCACATCGAACGTATCGCCAACTCGCCGTGTAGATAGATCGGGAAATTTTTCGCAAGTAAGTCCGAATTCGTCGGTTCTCAACGGAAGGACGAAACAATTTCTTAAATATCACAAATTTCCGAGAAATATTTAACGTACCGGCAGCACAGCAGCAACACAGTGAAATTCCTGTCGGCTCAGGAATTCTGCTCATTCGCGTTTGCACGCGCGGCATCCTTTTCCGCGAGAGAGACCAAAGGAAAATATTAAAAATGTCTCAAACATAAATTAATATGTTTCCTTCCCTCTCTCTCCGAAGTGATTACTTCTAGAGAGACGAAGAAAGAAAGAGAGAGAGAGAGAGAGCGAGTAGTTCTCTCGTTCTCTTCTCCTCCGGGCGATCACGGTACAAAGAGACGGCTTTAGACGGAAAAAAATTCCAGAACTTCCCGACATTTTCTTTTCTGCGTTCTCTTTTTTTTTCTCCCTCTTTCTTCTGTTCGCGGAGAGGAGATCTTTTGGAACTCGACCGGCCGGGTTCCGGAGGTACCAGAAGCACTTTATAGTCTCGGTGCGCGCGCGGCACATACGTGGGCTCCTGCTGGCCGATGCGCTCTCTCGGCGCCATGTTTGTTTTTCAGTTGTTAAGCGCGCAGCGGGCCGCCAGACAGGTTTAAATCAGCCTCCACCTCTCTTTCCGTTTCTCTTTTTCTTCCTTCTTCTCTCGTCTGTCCCTCTTCTCTCTCACCGCTGATTCCTTCCTCCATCACCTCCCGCTTTCTCCTCCTCCCTTCTTACCAACCCCCCGTTTCTCCTTCGCGCTCTTCGGCCGAACACCGCGCGGTCCATGAGTCAGTCCGGGCGGGTAACAAATTGCTTTTTGTTTGAACGGACAAATTAGTGATACGGCCGCGCCGGCTGAGGTGCCGCGATCGAAAATGGAAGGAAAAAGGAGAAGAAGACACACCGCGCTGTTTATTTAAACGTCGTATAGGTACCGTGAGCGCAACATCGACATCCAACTTCTCCGTGTGACCCCACGTGGGTGTCAACCGGATATATCTCGCATATCCGAGGCTGGATCGCGACGATAAACTCCGCGGCTTCGGTTTTTCGGTTGAGAAATAAGCGTCTTATTCCCATTCGGAGAGGTTCGAAGTGATAAAAATAAAATGTAGACAAGACACGCGTTGTAAAACGATGCGGTCTTTTGTTATCGAAAATCTTTTTTTTTTCTTTTGCATCGACGACGATAGGTAATCGAACTCGACGGAAACCGCACGCGCGTGTCCTCCTTTTTTCTTTCTTTTTTTTTCTTCTCTCGCTGCGTCAATCGTTAGTGCCGCGGTGCTAATCGACCAGCGTAACGCTCTGTTTGAGAAGCTTCTTTGAGGCTGCTGTTGATTTTTCTGGGTGCTAAATGCCCGAAGCGTCTCTCCCTGCCCCTCGGACATGTACGAGAGAAAACCCGAAGAAGGAACGGATGCACCGTGCGGAGCCGTGCGCGGGGAGTCTAATCTTTTTTTTTTTTTTTTCCCGGTATGACCCAAAAAATGTTCTCTCGCCTCGTCCTTCTCTCCCCCCCCCCTCTTCGTGAACCACTCGAGTTCACTTTGCACCTCCCGTTCCATCTTGCACGTCGGAAGTGCCTGCGTTCAAATACGCGTTTCGCTTCTCCCTTTCTCTCTTCCACTTTCGTGGACTCTCGAGCGCACGTGCGCTCCTCGTAAAAACGGCTACGACATTAGTTACACCTACGAGCCCCTTTAAAGTTCCTCCCAAAGTCAAAGGTCCGTATTTTCACCGCGCATTTAGCGCCGAGTGTTAACGCCTATGCCTGACACTGTCGTCGTCGTCGTCGTCGTCGTCGTCGGCGTCTACTGACACATCGTGTTCCTCTTATTTTAGGTAAATAGAACTTTGCGGATCGTCACATATTTATAGAACATTCGAGATTGCGCGCTCTTAACTTCCGATTTCAGAAACGTCGCGTCATCTTTCGCTCGTCTTTCTCATTTAGAATTTCCCGGTCGAGACTTCCGAATTGTGGAATTTCACACGCGTTTCGTCGATCGGACGCGCGGCGGAGACAAGATTTGTCCATTGCCCGATCCTCGTGCGGATAACGCGGGATGTTCCTTTCCCGGGTGTTCGAGGAATTCACGTGCGGCTTTTCCTTCACGCCGCAAGAAGAATGTTGTCCGAGGGCCCCGAGAATCCTCTTAGGCCAGTCCAGATTGATCCGCTTCCCCGTGCGATCCTCTCTCTTTCTTTCTCCTCGGAGGGATGTGCCACGTCGCCGCGTCCGAAAGCAAGATCGATAAAAACGAGAGTGCTTTCACGACTCTCGTGTGCCCCACGACCTAATCAGTTCTCTCGGACGGGGATTAGCGCTCGCGCGCGCGTTTCTCTCACGCACGCCATTAGCTTCGATCACACGTGACAGGAAATTTGTCTCCGGGGATGATGAATAATTTAGCTTGGGAAGCTGCGGGTTCCAATTAGCGGAACCACATCGTTTATCTCGCCGTAACAATCATAAAGATGATATGTTTGTGGCGACGGAGAGAGAGAGAGCGGAGAAAAGTGTTGTAAAACATTATTTTTCCCCGTACGAAAACAAGTGTAAGTTGTTTGGCGAGAACACACGTCGACTTCTCTCGCGTTTCTTCTCGCATCAGTTAAGACAGTCAGAGATACACCTCGTGAGTTTTAATTAAGCCAAAGAGAGAGACGAGAGAGTTTATTTATAGATCTATCGCACAGAGAGAGAGAGAGAGAGAAGGGTCACGTGGTATATTTGCGGCGCCGTCTTTGTGGATGCTCTTAACGTAACTCTAATCACTCTTCTTCAATCGCCATTAATATCCTCCCCGGAACGCGCGATAAATACGCGCCGTTACAGCTGATAGCGGGGCGGTTATTAATATACAAGCAAACGGAATTAGCTCGGAGTATTTGAACAAGCCAACGAGGGATGGGTGAGGCACAGGGTGAGTGTGTGGGCACACAGAGCGAAAAGACGCTTTGATGCCGGCGTGGTTGGCGAGGGTCAAAACTCGCATCAAGGGCCGAAGATATACGCTCTTCGAAGTTTTTTCTCTCTCTCTCTCTCTCTCCCTCTTTATTACTGTTCTATATGTCTCTTATCCGCGACTTTCGATAAAAGATGCGGATAGACCTGCCGTCGAAAGTGTGTGTAGGTGTATTATATTTAATTATAAGATTTCACAAAACATCAGGAAAGAGAAAAAGAAAGTTTTTTTTTGATATGGATGAGTTATTCGAGAGAAACTGTAAACAGCGCTCTTCGATTTCGCTCCGGTCGCCTTACTTCGAGGCTAATTTCCATGCTTGAGAAGTCGTAACCCGATCATGGCTGCTCGAAATGAAGAAATTTCTTTCTCTCTCTCTCTCTCTCTCTCTCTCGCGCGCGTGTGCTCACCTTAAGAGGAATATCGACTTGCACTTCGCTGCGAAAATCGACGGAGAAGTCGAAGTGGTTTCCGAAGTTCAACGTGTGGAAAAGCTATTTCCGTTAACGCGCGCAAGCTACGCGCTTAGGTTCGATATCTTTCAGGATATTTCCGCGGATGTGGCGGTCTTCGCAATCGCTCCGAGTCGGATTTCTTCTCCAATAACGACCGCTGAAAATCGGATCGATTTCGTCGTCTCGCGTTTCGTCGAATTTATTCTATGAATAGGAGAAACGCGGGCGAAATGGGACGCGAGACGCGACGCGACGCGACGCGCGCGCGGTTTAATGGGAAGGCGAGAAACACAGAGGCCCCCATTGGTCCATTGAGAATAACGGTCTCTTCTTCTTCTTTCCACGTAGAAGGTGAGCACCACGGTGGCTCCTCCGCTATCTCGGGGAGATCTCGCGTCGTCTTTTTCACCCGGAAAAATTTATCGTTCATTCGATGCTCCGCGCGCGCGGAGCTCGTTTTCTAATACAACGATCGATTGTGAGGGAAGAACGGGCGGAGGACATCGACAATTTAGAAAGTCTAATAAACAATGATGGGACAATTTTCGGAAAATACTGTTCGCTGTGTACTTTTATGCTCGGTGTCTCGTTAAAGTAAATTATTGAACGACCGGTGCGCACGGAGGCGGGATGAGGAGAGTTCGAGGGCGTTTACAAGCCTCGTCGAAGACTTTCCGAAGACATCGGGAAAAAAAAAATCCACGTTAATAAGTCTCAAATAGGCGCGCAGTGAGATTTATCTCTCCACGAAGATAAAAAGAACCGATAGTCTTAATTCCGGACTTAATTCCTCTTATATAGATTCCCCGATCGATTGTGAATTATCGAGACCTCGACCGGAGGAAAAATCTACTTCAAACCGTCGATAGAAAATCCGTCTCTAAATTGTCATTCGTCACGTCCTCGTTAAATTGTCGAACAAAAAACAAAGCTTCAACAAAACACGCGGCGATTATTCCACAAAACAATAATAACGTTCCGAAATTTTTCACAAAAAAAAGTTGCTCGCGAATCGCGAGATCGCCAGAAGTATTGCGGAACTCGACTGCCGAAAAGTTCAAAAAAGAAAAAAAAGAAGAAAAGAAAAAACGCGTCCTCTTTTGCCATTCCGCTCCCGTTGGATGCTCATGGTAGCCGAGTTCATCTTGCAGCTGATGAAACGTGGCTGATCGCGGTCGCAGTTCCGGCGAAAAGACCTGCCTGCTTCTCGGTTCGCACGTGGCACTCAGGCTTCTATCTGACCGTTTCATCTTCCGCTTCCTTC